GGGTGCAATAATGCATTAAATCTTCTGGGAGTGGCAAAACGCTAATCAAACTACATTTTCCTATTTTACTATTAAATTCTGGTCATTGCCATGGAAACTATAATGCATATCTAGCGTACACCCACTGTGACATTTTAAATAATATTTCTTGCTATATTCCACTGTCATTTTGGATATGAAATATTTTTATGCTAATTTTAGATCTGATGCAGTGAAAATACAGTATATCCAGATAGTGTACTTTAAAATGTAACAGCAAATGATTAACTAAAGAAGCTTCTCATGATGCTAACATTCATTTTTACATTTCTTGTAGCTGATAATGTATATGTAATATTTACTTTTTATATATAAAGCCCCTCTTATGTTTAAAAAAAACTCCCAGAGAATATCTTGATTAAGCTAAATCTTGGTTAACAGGTTTCATTTCAAACAGCGTTGAAATTCAGAGTTTATTATTTTTTTAAAAAAAAAATAGGAAATATGAGATGCATAGAGAAGACCAAACCAAAGTCAGTGGCCATTTTCTGAAATGTAGGATAGCCAATTTAATGCAGTTACTGAATCCTGCAGTTCATAAATAGAGGAATCACTTCAACTTCCAGCAAATTGTCCTCACCAAGATCTAAACTGATTTAGTCATTGGTTTTATATTTTTCATTTCCTCTGAGATAGGAGGGATACAAATGAATCTCCTTCACTTATCTCGTAGGAGAAATGTTGTGAGACAGGTTGAGCTCAAGAAAAATAACTGGACCAAGGTTACCTGGGTCTCCACAATCTCATGTCAATCCAAAAATCAATATATTATCAGGCTAATTTATATTAGATCATGCCCTATGGGATGAGTTTTAAGGGAGATTAAAATTGGCAGACAATATCATTTTTTTGCATTTTGTACTAATATTTTTATGTTAAGTAAATAATAACAACCAACCTCAGGATGCCAAGCATTTCAACTTCCTTTTTTTATATTTTTGTTCCATTGTTAGCTGTCCAGCATTCCTTGCTGCTTTCCCTTGGCTCTAGTAATTACAGCTGGCTTATTCCAGGGTTTTTCTGTTAAAGTAATTTGAATCTTCCCAAAGATATGTTGCATCTCCAAGTTGGATTGTTAATCCTTATTTCTGTCCTTAGCTGTCATTCCTTTGCTATCATTCCAGTGTGGTCACAGCATGAGATATGTCTGTTTACAGTTGTATATTTTATTATCCAGAGAGAAGACTGGCAGAAGCATGAAGAGTCATTAACAGAAACTGTTTTTTTCCAGAGCTCTTTAAGAGTTAGCTGAGGAAGTAACTTTGTGTCTGATTTAAGATTTTTTTTAAGAATCCAGTCTCCTTTAGAAACCATCCTTATCTGCTGTTTAAACAAAACAGCAACTCCTCCATAAAACTGACTTGAACAAGCTCCAGCATGCTTCTTTACACTGAACATGTGTATATCTTGCATTTGCTAAATTTTTGCTTTCTGTCTCACAACAGAAATTTGAGTTAGGCAGGTGAGACTGGGCCACGCTTCTATGTCTGTTACCTTTCAAACTTCCCATGCTCCTTGCTTACAAGGATTTCCTGATATAAATATCCACCAGATCTAAGTTCTAAGATCTTATGATCTTAACATTTATTGGGTTAGCTGCCAAATGACCTCTGGGTGGTATAGACGGAATGGATAAATAATGGAATAAATACTATTAATTCTTGTTTTGCTTCTTTATTTGTGGATTTATATCCTGCCTTTCCATTAATTTGCTGGTTCAAGTGGGAGTTCAGTGATGTGCTTAGACTTACTAGAAGCCCAGCAAAAGGGGGACGTGTCTTTTTCTTGTCCTATATCCTCTCTCCAGCAGGCATAGCCTTAAATCTATACAGTACATTGACTGTCTTTTTGACAACTTACTATGTTATTGTTGTTTTTCAGACTATTTTAACAATACTAGTCGTTGAAACTGGCCATTTTCTTTCAGTGCCTCATCAGCTGTGTAGATTTACATTATTTATTTCCTGAATCCAGCATTTGTCTTCAATTCAATCCCTTCAAATCTGTGATCCCTATAATCTATAAATCACATGATTCATACATTTCTATGTTGAAATTTGCAAAGCTTGGCATCATCAATTCTATATTATTACCAGCATATATTTTGGAAAATAAAGATTTGTTCTAAAAGTATTGAAATTGAAAAACAGGCTGGTGCTGGAAAAAGTTATTTCATATACCTGTCCTCTTAAGAACATATTTTGTGGGTTGTAATTTTCCTCACAGATGCCCAGAAATTTAACAGTGTCTTCTTTTCCGCCATTTGTCCTCCTTTTCAATTGTCCATGTCCTCCTTAGTTTGTTCTAGTAATCCTAGCTGTGCTAGAGTTAGAGACAATCATTCTTTATTTCCAGAAATATCAATGCCAGGAAAACAAAATAAAACTTTGGTTCATTGAGAGAGCACAGAAAATCAAAACCACATTTGTGGACAGTAAGGAAGTTCATATACCCAAATTTTGAAAAATAACAGTTATATTTCACATTTGCACTTCCATCCAAAATCTAAGCATAATTTTCTCTAGGCAAGTTCTAATTATAGATTTAACTTCCCAGTGTACATTTCAATTATAATATGTATATGAAATAATGCTTTTCCTTCACATAATAACAGAGGATCAGGAATAGAAGAACAATTGCATGGGTGAGCTACTTTTTTGGCAGATGGTATTTTCTTCCAAATGCCAGTTACGATCTCCAGGGTTATTTTATTCCTTTGCAGAAAGACTGTGGAACTTTCCTTTAACACTAATTCAGAAACGGATGAATTATGACCTAGCGAAAAGACTCAAGACTACAGTCTTGACTCAGAATGTAATGCTTGATCTCTTGCTGCCCTGTTGCGCAGCCTTTGTCATAAATATAATCTGTTAATATTACATGTGACATAAATGTCTAATAGCCAACATTTAAAATATTAGTTATGATTTTTTAAAATTGCGTCTTTGATGTTTTAGTTGATATTATTGAATTTTCAAAAATTTTGTAACCAAAATTTGATCATATATGACAGTGTATATATTTAATGAATTAATACATTAAAAATGCTAAATTCTTCACCTTACATACATTGAAATCAGTGCTATGTGCTTCTAAATTAATGTGACTAGGATTAGGCTGTGTGTGACATATTAAAAAACTTCTAAAGCTAAGAAAATAGATCAGGATTTTTTTTAAAAAATAGCGTTTCATTTAGTTATAGAACTAAATGTTGCACTGTGGATTTCTACCCAAGTAAGATGGGTAAAAACATTTTTTTAAATTCAGAAGTATATCCTATTTTCTCACAAATTAAGAAATTTAATTTTCCCCCATTCTTTCTGCACAGCTTATATATGCAGCGGACACATGAAGTCATTAGAAATTTCATTTTCAATAAAACCATTATTCTTTTTATTTTCTAAAATTATCTCACTGTCAAATTCTCCAGATTGTCACTGCTGCCATAATTGATGATTCCAGTTTCTTTATATTGTTGATTCATATACCAATGAGGATTTTAACTTGTATCAAGATTATGTAGACACAGAAGCAGTCTAGCTTTGATGTACAATTTTTTTTTCCTTTGAAGTGGTGGAACACTAGTGATTTCCTGAGTGAATGCCACCATTGCCCAGCCCAGTGCCTATAATAGTGACACTGCAGTATGTCAGAAAGTGGGCCAGGTCTCCTAGCTATAAGGAGAACACAGAAAGTAAAAATGACAAAAGGAAGGAGCCTTTACACCCTAATACCTGCCCTCGGTTTAGAGCATTAATGGGTCAAGTAACACCCCAAAATAAAATTAAAAGTACTGAGAACCTCAGTCTTTCTTTCAGATATACCTCTAGAACATAGATTTGTGTTTTTAAAATGTATCAAAAATATGGGGTGAACATCTACTAGGAAGACATCAGATATTTTAATCCATAAAACTGGGCATATCCTGTGCTTTTTCAAAATAGTTCCGAGCTGTACTATTCCCTTACAAAATTATAGGTAGCAATGTACATGGAGAATTGTTCATTGAAAATCATATGTATAAATATACAGTATTAAGTTACTCAAATATAAAGGTGTTAATGAAGTTGTTACTATTCTTTCTTATGTTACTACCTATAAAGCCAAGAGCAAGTGTCTGATATTAGTCTTTAGATACATTTCACATGCTTTAAAGCGAATTGAATTAATTGGATTACACAAATCATCCCCAAAACAGCCAAAGTCTATTTATAGTGTTTATTTTCTGTGCATAATGAAAATGTTTACATTTTTGCATGTGAGTAAGTCATTTGTTTTGATTTCTTATTCAACTAAAGTAATAAAAACATAAAAAGATATATAATTTTATAATATACAGATTAATGAAAGGAACTACTGATGTTATTTAGTCAGAAGCAAGCAGAACTGAGTTGATAAAGTACTTACGTGTGTGCTGGGTTGCAGCCAAGCTTTTGATAATCAGTGAAACAATATAATTGTACTTCTCGAATGCATCAGAATACTTTCTCTTTATTGTTCAAATCATTTGTACTATTTTCCTAAACTGCCTCCTGAAACTCGGCACTTTACAAAATGTGGTGGACGCCTTGTTTTCTCTTACAGTGATTCCAATGAATGTGAGTAGTGAAGGCTAATTTGGGAATCGTTCATACTAGAAATTTCTGTTTCATGGAAGGAAGTCCGTTGGTGATAGTGAAGCTAAACAATGCAAGACTGTTTATATGTAGGAAACTGTTTTTCATAAAGATACGTTAAATCATTTTATTACAAATTCGTTCCATAATGAATTACCTAAATGACTGGACATTTAAGCCAGTTCTTTTTCTTAATTTAGAAATTCTTTTCATCAAGTATGTTACAGTTCTGGTAGGTATTTATTCCTATTAGTTGGATTTAAACTGTTGTTTGAGAATATTTGAATATTAGTCTTTATTAGAGATTTTGTGTTTTGTTGTTTAACACTAAGTTTATTCTTGTAGGTTGTGAAAAACAAATGAAAGTTGTTTTCAGAGAATCATCTGAAGAACACCTTCAGCCCTTTAAGGATAAGTTTGAAGATTTTTTCTGTGAAGGTACGTACTTTCCAACCTGTTTAAGCATGTTCCCATTCTTGATATATTTCAATGCAAATCTGCTTTTAATTATGGGTTCAGATTTATGCAGAATGTGGTTCACATTTCTTTATGTAGGTGAAAAAACATTTTCAGCTGGTTTCAGAAATTACATCATTTACTTTTAGTTTGTCTTCACTTGGTTCTGGGGCATTCCAAACATAATTCTTCAACTTCAGTCAGTTTAAAGTAGATTCCATATCCTCGTTACTTACCTCCATTTCCTATCTTCAAATCCTTTATGATGTAGGATTTATATTTTCACTTCTTGGAAACATTCTACTTTCACCTTTGTTTCTTTCACTTTTTGAGTGGGTCTATTGTCACTGGCATTAGATAATAATTGTCTTTATATGCTGGCCACAATATACTAGTATTAATATATTAAAACAGTAATTTATTAATATGGTTTTATATGGGTAACATAGTATTCTTTATATTTTTATATAATGCTAAATATATTTACACAGAAGCTCTCACTGCCTTGACTAAGATTTACAGTATTTCTAAGTTAATGTACAATAAGATTGTTACTAAGCAACTATACCACTATATACCAATACAGACTTTTTCTCTACTAATAGTTTCTAAAAAGAAGTGTAATACGTGTACTTAGCTTCCTCATAAACTCAGTAGCAATAATAGGTTTCCCACTGCAAATCCATTGATCCATTGATCAATCTAGGGAAAAAGCTAGAAGCCGCTCCTTTTGGCAGGAGAAAATGTCTCTATTCCCCCCGCCCGCCACTTTTTTTCACATGAATCGCCTTTTCAAATAGAATATGGGACCCACATTAGGCCATATTTTGGTTGTTCTTCATTTCCCACAGAAAGATTCTTCTGCATGCTTAACAACCCTCTATTGGGTCCTTGGAGGAAGTCCTCATTTTTGTTTAACTCTATCATTGAAGTTCATTTCTGATAACTCTATCATTTCAAAGTTCTGCTGCTTACCATCCCACTGAATGGATAGGTTTGATTATCTTAACCTATATCTAAACCTTGATCTCTATATAACCATCCATCTTTCTCTTGTTTCTGGTGTGTGTGTGTGTGTGTGTGTGTGTGTGTATAGGAAAGACAGAGGGAGAGGGAGAGAGCGCTCATTTCACTTTTTAGAAATGTTTGGTTGGTTAGATTGCAGGTCTTCAGGAATAAGTGAAAATTAAACCAGAAGTATTATATTTAGTGTGTGGAAATTATCTGGTACACTTAGATACAATGTAAAATGGTTAGTTAAAAATGAGTGGTTGACCAACTGTATTTACCAAGAGTGATTTATGTGTGGTTAATCTCTATAGACTGTACTTTTCTGCAGGGGTATCATTCTTTCAGCAGATTCCCTGGTAATTGTAGAAAATGTTTTACAGTACAATACTGGAACTATCTCCTTTGAAAAGCAGTGCAATTTCATTCTAAAAATGCATGCTTAGGGTTATACCATTATATAATTATGGTATGCATAATTACATGCTTTTGCATGTTTAACTTGCCAATATATACTCTCTTGGGAATTTTCTTCATTCAACTTAGAAATCTGTAAATACTATCATTTTGATTTTACTATTTCTTGATTAACCATGACAATATTGTTTCAGATACTATTGGATATCAAATTGCAGAATGGAAAAATAGATACATTTTTAATTTAATAATTTTCCATTGGGTGGGATTCAAGCCACTTATTTTTTACCTCTTACCACTCCCCAAATGTAATTTTTTTTTAAAAAAATTGAAATTAATCAATATATACAAGCTAAATTACTCTTCAGTAACAATAATAATGATGATTATGGAGGAGAAAGTAAAAGCAGAACATTTCAACCAACCCTTCTCCCATTCCAACATGAAAAATAGTATATATTACGCTGTAACTTTCTTAGGGCAACTCACAGGTCATCAAGCTGAATGCAAACCTTTGAGACTACAGAACTGTTCATCAGCAAAATAGCAATGTCCCCAAATAATCTGGCTATTGAGCAGAATAAAAATATAATAAACAATAAACAAAGCAAAAGTGTGGCACAGAATTATTGAATGGAATTTAAGGGAAATTACAGGTTTTCACATTTAGAAGTGCCACATATTTTGATGGTAAAGACCACATTCTTTTAAAAAAAAGTATAAAACCAAAATTGCACTTTTATCAGCTTTCTAGGTTTGTAAATGTTGGAAAAGCACTGCTTTTCCCTTTAAGCACTGCATTGGCTTATAAATGGTTTGTATTTTTCATGTTACTGAAGATTTATTTTTCAGTCTCTTGATACACTAAGACCTCTTTTGTACATAATATTCAATATCACTCCCATATAAAAAGAACTTTAAGTGATTTGTTACAGAAAAAGCAGAAAAAGCTGGTATATCAAGGGCAGCTGTTTTTATTTTTTTAAAGGAATGGTCTGGGAAGAAACTCCTGGATAACTGTCAAGCAATGCATTGATATGCTACATTACTGTTTCAGTTAGAGAATATTTTTCATTAGTGTTAAAAACAAAATGAAATAGTCATTTGGAATCATCAGGAATATGCTTCATGGTACATTATATTTTTCATCTATGGTCTGTGTTTTTAGTGAGACAAACAGTAGGTTTTTTAAAAAAAACATAATTTCCTTGTTTTCAGAATTCCAATGATAACCAAATATTTATTGTGTTCATGATTTTCATTGCTTCATACATAGGCATTTTCTCTGTCTTTCCATACCCATGAATTACAACAGCTGCAGGCAACTGGAAAAAATATTAGAAGTGCCAGAGATAGAAGAATTATCCTGGAATATCACAACTCTTATTTAGATGTGATAATACAGATGTTTTCTTTTTTGAAGAATGTTTGTATGCTCAAGCAGTTGCTATTGGAAGCAAAAGCTCACTATAAATCAATATACATAAAAGGCCTAAATGCAATCTATAGAAAATGTATACATAAGTAACAAGAATGCAGTGAGTAATATAGGTTGGATGTTCCACTTTAAAATAGCAGACTGTATCTTCTGTTTGCTTTGAAATTAACACATAAGTTTCTTCAAGTAAATTTAGAATTATTTTGAGGAATAGAAATGATCCCAAGTTACCTCAGAATTATTTGTGATAATGTATATAATTCTATTCCAGATTAATAGGCTTTATTGAATTTTCTTAAAGTCAACATAATTTTAACATAATATTTGTATGCAGATCCAAGTCTATGGTTCTCCTTAAGTGTTGGAAAGTATATAGAAAACCAACACTTACAATACTGTTTATACTATCCAAAGAAAGACTACTCGATATGATTTTTGCATTTATAAGCCTCCTTGTTGAAAACTATTTATACATGAACCAAAATGTTCTTGTTCATTGGTTGCTGGCCAGTTGAGATCTCAAATTCAAACTGTTTAGATTTACAGAAAATTTCATCTATAGTTTTTAGTATTATGGTATATTATAAGATAAAGTTAATGCATAAGTGTATTCATGACAATTTAGGTTTGTGTAGATGAGCAAGCATGTCAGCCTCTGCTACGCTTACTTGCTATCGGCTGCCCTAGAAACGGGGAGGGGGGCATGGTATTGGGGAAGGGAATTATATTGTACTGGAAGAATCTTGTTCTCACCATCTTCTGTGCATGCGGGTGGTTGATGTTTGGCCAACCGTCTCGCATACCAACTTGATGAGGCTGTTTGAAGATGCACCCCACATGACACCTTAGGGAGTTGCAGATTGGACACTGGGTTGAGTAATTGGGAGGAGGGTGTTGGGTAAACGTTTGATATGTACATGTTTCCGCCTTTCTGGCTCAGATCTTGCTTTCCTTTTTGCTGCTTTCACTTCATATCTAGTAAAAGTATTTTATCTCTATTCAAATGGAGTTGAGGTTTTTCTTTCTTGGATATTGAAGGAGGCATGCCTGACAGTTCCACCTAGATTTAAAAATAAAGCATACCGTTTAAAATGATAAAAGAAGGTGATGAACGCTCTTAGTGGTAGAGAAGCAAGAAAATATAAAACAAAGTAAAAGCAGGCAACAAGATGTTTTCCTTAGCAGTGAAAAATGCATTATTTTACTTATATTTATTATTTACTTAATTCATTAATTATGGATTTAGAAAAAGTAAAAAGCACACTCTCTATATGTCTGAAAAAGACAATTCCGCAAACAGATATAATTCTGTAAGAGGATGAGACCCATCTCAACCAAAAGCTGGGGGAAATGACAAGTTTCAGAGATTTCTTACACATGTTTATGATTAAACAGATTAGCAACATAAATGAAAAATGTAAACACAGGATCAAAAATGTATTAAAAGGGAAAAGTTAAACCAACCTTTCCCATTCTGGCTCCCATCAGATATACTGTATTGGATAAACAAGTAGAATTTTCCTTCAGCTTGGAGAAGAGTGAAGCATAATGTAACTAAATCTAATTAATTATTTTAATTTAATTACTTTTATTTAGACACTGCTCTATTCAAACCAATTTAGGGAAGTGATTCCAACCAACTCCAAATAATGTCCATCTCAGCTTCAAATTATTGAGTCTTCATGACCACTACATTTGGGAGTTTTCCTCATATGAGAATGATGCAATCATATTGGGATTAAGAAGTATCTATCTTTTGAGTGAGATTTATTATTTACCCTCCTTGTTTATGAATACATTTATTGCTTCGGTATTTATATATAGAACTAACCAATAGGAGCAACATTTGCCATAGTTTAATTTTGTATGCAGATTAGAATTTCAAGTTTGACAATTTTATGGAACCAAAACCTACTACTACAATACTTTTCTAACCCTAGACTGTACATACTGGTAGATGTTGTTCCTTCTCCTGTTCTTTTTAAAATATTAAATTATAAAATGGGAAGCTGTCAGTTTACCCTTTAGTTTTTAAATTCTACCCTTTAGTTTTTAAATTCTAAAAAATATTTTACTATATTATTATATTTTAATTCCTATTATTTTTAATGGTTTTGTGCAAATAAACAGATGTGTCCCATATAAAACACATATATATTTCTTCTTACAACTTACTTGCTCTACTATCTGTCCCAAACTCTACAATTCTGATCTAAAAGACTATGTGGCAGAATAATTCATTAGTAGCAACAGAAAGATAATAAAAGAATAATCAAATGAGATGAAGCAATTCACAGTGTGAAAAAGTCTCCACAAATCCATAGAATATTAATTTCAATTTTGCCATTTTCCTGTTGTGCCTTTAAAATGAACCTATGCTCCCAATTGCCTGAAATGTTTATTTGTAAAAAGAAAATATCCCAATGAAAAGAATTCTTTAATCCGTTCTCCATTTCAGCACGATAGAAAACTATATCTTAAGTGCAAGAGGTGGCTGTGCATATTATATTCCTAAAGTTTTACCTGATTGTATGAAATCAATCTTTACTAAGTTCAGTGTATAAAATATAACCTCAGCTTCATAAATCATTCTAAGCATCCCACAGGAGGAAGTAATGCTGTGGATTTTTTTATTTACTAAAGCAGCTCAAATGACCAGAAGCTTTTTTTAAAGTTAGGTTCATGTACAGTTATCAATTTTTGCAACTCTGTATTACCCAAATAATACTCTGTATTATTTGCTTGGTATGTGTAACAATTTCTTGTTTTAGAGAAGGCCTGTTTCCTATTCTTATTAACCTAATTCATCATACTTCTGAGCACACTAACCCCCCCCCCACTGCCTCCATTAAAAAAGAATCTTTCATTTTTATAGGGAAAAGTGTAGTCTGTCTGATTTCTTTTTTGGGAAAAGCTGAACAGATTGGTTTCATACGTATTCTGTTTAAAAGGGATTAAAACCAATTTTCCAGTTTCTTAAATAGTTTGCCTGTATTTAGCAATCTCAGAAAGATTACTCTTTCTGTTTTCCTTGGAATACAAGCAAATGAAAAATATTCTTTCTTGTTATGTTAAATAATGCTATGTTTTAAAAGTTACCATGTTTAACCACAGTTGGAGTATAATTATTGATTAATAATGTGAATGCAGGAAAATCATATTTGGGGAAAAAGTATTTTTTGGAGTTGTTTCCAAGAAAAATACTGAATTTTGAGATATATAGTATCATTGGTCTCAATTTATTTTTGTATTATATTTTAAAAGAGGATATGAACTGAAACACAATTTAAAATATGTTCCATTTCTTGACTATATAAAAAAAACAAACTCTTTGAAAAGCTTTCTTTCTGTTAATATACAAATATATCCAAGAAAAATGAATATATAATAACTGACTTAGCTGGCTTCATTGCTATAATTGCCTAGTAAACTGACCTTCAACACAATTTTGACAAATTTATAGGCAACATTATCCATTTTTAAACAGAACATAATTTTTTGGTTTCCTTGTATTACCTCTGATAATAAACAATTGAATTTGTTCTGTGGATGGAATGTATAAATATAAGCAGTATTTTTGGGTTACTGTTAAGTGCATTTGAACTTTCATGCATCATGTAGTTGAAAAATGTCAAGATATTTTCCAAAATATCTCAAGCGTAGGACAAGTAACACTTTATGATTTGCAAGCTCTTGTACAAAAATATTTATACATAATTTAAAAGCAGTTTACTTCCATATGTTTGCTAAATAGACCAAACTAATCTGGGTTGAAAACAGATTATGTGTAGTATTAAACAAATAAAAATAGCATTATTAAGATTTATAACAGACAGAATATTTGTAAAATATTTTGCTTAGTTTCCCTAGCGCCTAATTCAGCTGAAATAAGAATGGAAACTTGAGAAATCTGTGCTTTCGGTTTTTGTGCCTCTTTTACAACATTTTAAATAAAATTCTGATCTTCGCCCTGTAATTAAAATAATGTACAATTTATATTTCTTCCTTTGTTTCTTCATGTGTAAATTGTGAAAATGATGGCAGGTGAGGACAAAAGGTATGAAATTAACTGGATCTGTAAATATTTTAACATACCGCAACTCTGCCCCCTATACTCTAATAGATAAAGACAGGGAGGAGAGAAACATAAAATAGTATAAAGCAGTTTTGGTCTTCACAATTTTGGTTTTCAAAGGGATGACATCCCCTCAAAGGGATGACATCTAATCAGGTTAAAAGAGGGATTGCAGTGCAAAAGGAAAACAATCTTGTAATTCTGACCCTACATAAGATATCTTTGTACGGTATTTCAGCAATTTATACTCTATTAAACTTACTTTTATTTATTCATTTATTAAGCATATTTATATGGCTTTCTAGTAAAGGAATACTGAATGGCACATAAAATTAAAACAAAATTAGTCACAATACATTTTATCTTTATAAGAGTTTCTTAAGCCTGATTTTATCATTTTCTATATATTAGAGACCATTTGAAGCTATTGGAAATAGGATTCTTTTGTATACAGAGCATTTTTTTAAATTATGGTTTAATCCTATTATAATTGGATTAAATGGATTCTATACCTGCAAACTGCCACTGGTTCTCACGACTAAGCTTTATAGAATTTGTCATCAGTATAGACTTATAGATTTAGTCCATAGTAACCTTGGAAACACAGGAAGGGTTGTCATATATAAGGTTTACATGCCTTTTATTTTGTGAAATTCAGCTATGTAGCACTATCAGTATCATGTCTGGCCACCTGATAGGAAATGTTTCATTATAATTTCACAAAAAAGTTGCCAGGATATATCTGTATGTTGGGAATCAGAATGGATAGGAAACCACAGTTTTTGAGTAAATGAAGTCTAGACAGAAGTGTAAGTAATCTTTATCGTCAGGATCTGAAATATCTTTGTATGATAACTTTGGTTCTGAACATCTAAATATTTTTCCTTTAGAGTTTCTTGGTGCTCTCTGAGCTTGGTTGTTTACAACTTGAGCTATAAACCCTGAGGTACAGGAATTCTGGGATACAGCTACAAATATAGACAAATATGTCTTGTCGGATATGTCCTTCATGGATTAAAAAAGCCATTAACTGGACAACATATGGAGTCTATTAGCTTCAAGGAGACCAAAATCATTGTGAATTGTGCATACCTTCACTGTAAATAAAGTATCTTTATAACACAATAAAAATAAGTGTTTCGTTATTGCTCTATTCCACATCTCCTCACAAATAGTCCCTTCATCATCATAACAACAGCATATACTAAAAGTGTTTAGCCAATTACACCAGCCTCTGTATTTCTGGTATATTTTAAGGTGTCAGTACTTTTCCTTATAACATTTACAAGGATAACATAATTTCTTAATTCACAATTCATATTTTAATATTATAAATATTCCTTTTTCTATGAGTGGTGTGAAATTATAAAACTCTTGAAATGTAGCATATATTCAGATTTCTAAAATTATTTTTAAATGTTTTTGCAGCCATAGAAGAACATAAAGAAGAGAAAAGTCACCTGGACAATGCACAAAAGTGGTAAGTTGTCCAGTTTTCTTAACTCTGTACATTATAAATTCAAAAATACCTTTAAATAAGATTAGGATTGGGATTCTTTCTTCAAATGCATGTTACTCTTTGCAGCATTTTCATAAAAGTTAAAACTTTTTGGGAGATTAAATTATAGATGAAAATATATACAGTACACAGAGAAATCCAACAGGACTGAGTTAAAGCAAAAGTTGTAGCTTTCCTGTGACAGCTGTCTTTTCATATGAAAGAAAGGTTGTTTGGTTAAAAACATGAAGAGTATTTTGCCACTTCCTTGAAGAAAATAGTAGTCAAGGAACAGAACTAAATAATAAGCTTACTATTTGTCCCACAGAGCATTTAAAAATATTGTATAGTCTTCTTTCAGGTCAAAATTCAAAAACCTTGCAAAATGTCTATTGAAGCTTTACATATGCATAGTTTTACCAGCCACGTCCTTCTTCAATATAAGAAATTTAATTCTAGATCTCAATGCCCCCAATTTAACCTTTAAATTGTCCTTAAGCAATAAGGTGTTCCAACTTGCTTGGAAGATACAAATGGAGAAGCAGACAGGACGTGGGAGGTGAAAATAGTCCTAGGAATATTCACCACAAGTGTGAAGCCTGAATTTGATTTGGATGTGGGATTGTTTGTATCTTTGGAACCTGACAACAAGATTGTAATTCCAGTAGTACTATATTCTGCTAGCTCTGGGTCAAATGATGTATTTTCAGGATATTAATGCGTGAAAACCTTCAGCTAGGAAGAGGTCGCCATGACTTAATAGCCTATTATTTAGAGATTTATTAGGGGAATGTACAATGATACAATTCAGTGCCTTTTCGTTAAACAACTGTTTTTAAAATGTGATTCTTTCTCAAATCTTACTTACCACTTTGCTTTTTTTGCTTTTTCTGTTTCTATTGCCTATGTGGACATCTGTCAACTGAATTCACTTAGCTGATGCAATAAAAACTCATATTATATTGCATTTGGTCTTTATTTATGGTACAGTTTCTACTTGTACCTGATTTTTTTTTAATTGGTAGCTTGGAATTTCTAGTCAGAAATCTATGCCAGCAAATTTTCCATTGAATTTCCCCAATGAGTTTATATGCTGTCCATCTTTTCTCCCTCTACATCTTCCAGTTTTGAAGAAATGGTGAAATACTATGGAATAAAGCCAAAATCTGGTGAAAAGGAGACCACACCGAATTATGTTTTCATGGTTTGGTATGAATTCTGCAGTGAGTTTAAGACTATTTGGAAACGGGAGAACAAAAACATTTCCAAAGAAAGGTAAGGTTCTAATAAAGCCATTAATACCATTTTAGAAGTCTGGGGAGCTGTTCTTTTTCAAACTCAACAAATTATACTCCTGTATTTCTCAGGCGTCATTGTTTTCTTTGAGATCAAATGGACCTCAAGGAAAGATTATTCCCTCAGGGTGCCTAGGAAAATTGACCAAAGGGATGCTGTCCCCACAAAAAGATAAACACATATAATCTGATAAATTACACTTTCTTAACCCCTTCCAATTGCTAGCTAGTGAAATGAAAGAGGAGCTGTGCTAATTTGGAACAGATTGCTTCTCTTTGCATTTTCATGTTGGACAACTTTAAGTGAGGCAATATTGGTGTTGCAGACAGCACTGACAAACAAAAGTGACGTTAATATGTCCACACTTGCATCAAAGAGAAGCCTGTGGGATTCAGACCCCATTTAGCACAGTGTCAAAATCCTGTACTGAATTTACAGCATTGTTTCTTGGTATCCAGCTGTGGAGATCAAACTCCATGCCGTGGCATGTCCCATCATTTCCTGATTTTATTAGTTTTTAGTTAAAACCATTTTTGGGGGTTAAGATTTGAACTGTTTGAAGGTTTAAAGAGGGGAAGAAAAGATTGGGATGATTATTTAATGATTTCATTACTGTACTATATTCTTTCATGTTGTAACAAATTTATGTTAAAAACATAACACATTTTAAATTACATATTATAATATTAAGTGTTTTCTAGCCCAGTGATCTTGCTACATTTCATTTTATTTCCCCCTCCTATTAAATTTACGTTTATGACTCTCACTTCTTATTCGGCTAAATTAACCCCATGCTCATTCATCAACAAACAGGCTGGGAGTGATTTGAAAGTTTGCAGAAGTAGAATACTTCCTCATCCTGAACCCAGCCTAATGATGGCTGGGCATGCTTAGTTCTAGGAAAGGGAAAGGGAATAAATATTCTAGAAGAAGACATGGCTAGAAATTTGTATTTCTGGACCACTCCACATTATATTATTTTGGAGTAGGTCCCATTTGTAACTTTCTGGTATGTATAGCCTTCCTTTCTTCCTTCCTTCCTTCCTTCCCTCCTCCCTTCCTTCCTTCCTTCCTTTAAAAAAATTATGTTCTATGGAACCCCAGGGGTTTTGCAAGAATTTATTGTGGTTCTATGAGAGAATAACACACATTTTTTTTAAAAAAGTTCATTTAACTCAGCCAATTTTCTATCATTTGCACTTTGACTCTTGATAAGGGGTAGTGGGATTTTTTTTAAAGGTGTTGCCTGAAAAAAACGAAAACCTTTGTTGTATATTGTTGTATAGTTGTATAGTCACACTCATGCTCCCTGATAAATTATATTATTTGTAAACAACTTTTGAAGCACATACGTAAAATATCTGAGTGAAAACTATAAAATGGTAATGTTGAGTTCAGTGCTAACATTCTTGAATATTTATTTAGATGTATTTGTTGCCAAACCCAACAGATTCTATTGTTAAAGAGACACCAGCTTCTATTTTAAAATAGGGAAAAATGGAAAGCAAAATATTATGGGATTATGTTCCACAGAAATACAATGTAGGGAAATATAGTAGCTTACTGGGAATGAACACAAATTTTGCAGGCAAGCACCCCCTTCTTTTCATTTGGTGAAAAGCTGGATGGAGGCTAGCAATTACTCAAAACATTTAAGGTATGTGTGTGGAGGGGGGGTGTTCCTTATATTAAACAAGCAAAGACTACATTACTATTCTTGAGCCTTAAATGAACAACTTGCCACATAGGTAGCTAGCATTCAACATAATAACAATGTTAATTGTCCAACATTAGAAGCATACATTTGCTTAAGCAGCCATTTTAAATTAGATGCAGATGTGGATAATTTAGTAAATTGCTATACTTTTTATACAAGGAGATGTGCAAACATTGTGGGTCACTGGTGTCTTTCATCGCAAGCAGCAATCTTAAGCAGCAATCAGTTTTTTCTGCTCAGAAAGAAAATGTCAGGGAAGGGGAAGTCCTCCTAGACTTGAAATTAGCCATAATAGAAGCTGCTTGCAATTTGCCCTTGAAATGGCACACAAAGATTTCATCACTGCCACCAGCAGCCACATGAAGAACAAGGGCAAGTCAGGAAAAACACAAGCAAATCCTTATCAGGCCTTCCTTTCAAGATCAGTAACAGATATTGATTTTTGGAAAGGATACTAATATAAACAGTGTGGTTCAGTTGGATTAATTGGGAATTAATTAGGAAACTCCATCTGTGTTGTTCTTCTCTTGAAACACTCCAGTGTTTTGCAACCTCAGCAAGTTTAAGTTGGGTGCATTTCAACTCCCAGAATCATGACTTCTGGGAATTGAAGTCCATACGTCTTAAATATACATACATACATACATACATACATACATACATACATACATACATACATACACACACATACACACACACACACACACACACACACACACACACACACACAAAGAGAAACAGTGAATTCAGTGTCATGGTTTTCTATTCTTTACACGTAGATTTTTTCTTTTAAGATAGAAAAGTATTAAAGTTTCAGTCTGCCAAAATGGAGAAAAAATTATTCCCCTCTCCCCATGGTCTAGAGAAAACTAATTCCAACAAACTAATGAGAGGCAGGGGTTATCAGAAAAGAGGCAGTACCATTACATTAAAAAAAAACTTTATTCAATTCTTTTTACCAAACCTTCTGCCATGGGCAAAATTGTTCCAGGGACAACACATTGCTTAGAAATAAAGCATATGCCATTCATATTACCCTATGAATGTCAAAGAAAATTCTAAAATATCATATTCAAGCAGGTGATATTTTCTTCTTGAAGAGTAAATATTAATTCCTCTATATAGTACCTGTAACAATCTAGTCCAGTGTTTCTCAAACTTGGAAACTTTAAAATGGATGGATTTCAACTGGATAGTAACTGGCTGGGGAATTCTGGGAACGGAAGCCCACCCCATCTTAAATTGTCAGGTTGAAAAACACTAATCTAGATTATTCTGTAATCATGGTTTGCAATTGATTGTATAAAATATGGAATTACAAAATTATTTGTAATTATAACAGACTTATTTCTGTTATACTTACTTTATTCTCTATAAATTTATTCCCATGGTGACAAATCATGGTTTGATGTTATGCGTGAACTCAGCCTAAAACAATATTTATGTATATTAATTTTCAATAGTAATTGCACACAGACTCACATACTGAATATAACTTGACACAAATAAAAATTAACTATTTCTATATCTATTGAACAACATAGCTTGAAAAAGCTAAGAACTCTCTTAAAAACTTTTAACAAAGGATATTATAGTTATTTTTTCTTCCTTTTCAGTCCTATCTCATTCTCAGGGACAATCCCTGCAGTTTTGTTGGCCAGGTTTTTCAGAAGTACTTTGCCATTGCTTCTTTCCTAGGACAGGAAGAAGATGATTGGCCCAAAGTCACTCAATTTAGCTTCATATTGTAGATGAGATTATAACTCTCAGTCTCCTGTTTTCTAATCTGATGCCTTAACCACAAAACTAGCTCTCAATTATTGTTGGAACCTGTTGAGTGTCAAATCAGCCTTCAATAGACATATAGACATTAACAACATCTAGAGACAATCACCAGAGGTTATGTTATGTTATGTTTATTATACTTGTATGCCGCCCTATTTCCGGAGGGACTCAGGGCGGCTAACAAACCGAAGGGGAAGGGAATAATACAAACAAAAAGCAATAAAACCAGACAATCAAAATACGGAAACAATTTAAAAGCAGTCAACAGCCACACA